TTTTAAATTTAAAAGAAAAAGTGATTTTTCCGTTCATTAAAAATTAAAAACCATTAATTTTTCTAGTCGTCAATCACGAAAGGCAGAAACTAAGGTCCACGCCTGTGTGTGTATGCAAAATATCTCTTGAACAACTGGATCAATTTTAACCGAAGTCAGAAACATTTGGAGTGATTCAAGATGGCCGCCACGGCTAATGGATTTAGCAAACACAAAGATACTGAGCTAAAGTTTGGTGAGGTAGTAGCTGAGAGTCGTCCCCATCAGAGACTCTGAGAGCTAACAGATGTTTGTTTGAAACTGAAGCTGGCAGGTGATACGCATCACTTTAAAGTGCCTGTGACATGAAATTTTTTAAATAAATATAAAGGCATTATTGGACAGATAATATCAATAACGTTTTGCAAAAATAATTTCCCGCTGCTGACATAAACGGTCATTGAGATATTTGAATTTGAAGTAACAGGAAGTGATGTCAAAGGGGAATATCTGCATGGATTAGAGCGCTGATAAAATGGTTATAACGACACAGACTGTAGAGAAGAATCTGATGTATCTTTAGATTTTTTTTGAGTTTCTATCAGAGATAAAGATGAGTCAGAGTTCAAATAATATAATTTCAGTAAGCAAAGACCAGAGAGTTCTCTTTCTTAAAGAGTTCCCCTTTGATGTCACTTCCTGTTTCACTTTGGCTGGGCCAAGTTCAAAAGAAAATCTGCCATTTTTGTAACCAAATGGGTAAAATCACATTTTATCAGAATCAGAATCAGAATCAGGTTTATTGTCCAAGTATGTTGACACCAGTGGGCACCAGGCCATTAAAGCGCAAATCCGCTAATTGCGGACCAAAATATTTCGTTTGAGCTTTAGCGGTCTTACTAATTTTTATAATTCATAAGCGGATTTGCGCTTTCTAAAATAAATTGCAAATAAAGTCTGTGAGAAAAGATGAGCTCCTGATCAGCAGAACGTCTGTGTGTAAAACCTCCACCCTGACCCTCACCCCTCACCCTGTGGCCTGGAAGAGGCCCGCGGGCCGCCAGTTGATTAAAAACCTAAAATCCAAACATCCTGTTCTGACACAAAGAACCCGCTGACTCACGTCGCTCTGGTCCGTGACCAGGTCCAGCAGGCGCTTCTGGACTCCCAGCAGGTAGGGGGTGGGCGCCATGACCACGTCGATCAGGATCTCTGGGACGATGGAGATGAAGGTGTGCTGCCAGGTGAAGGGGTAGAGGAGGGCTGCGACGGCGTGGAGGACCTGAGACAACTTCCTGCGGACGGACAGGAAGCTGGCGTTAGAGACGATGCACCTGCACAGGTTTTCACAGTAACTGCAGTCATTTCTCTGTGAAGACGCACCCCAGCTCCTCTGCGATGAAGATGATCCGCCTCTCCAGGACGGCGGCGGCGAACACCTGCAGCACCTCGGTGTCCTTCAGGCTGTCGAACAGGATGTGGAAGTTGACGTGCTCCAGCCACGAGTCCAGCGGTCGGGTCAGCCGGATGATCTGGTGGGGACAAGAAGAAGAAGGTGTCTGTCACTTCTGATCCCGACCAGCGCACTCTGCAGGTGCAGGAGACTCGTCTGAACAGGTGTTTCTTTCTTTTACACCTGCAGCCAGAGAACCGACACCTGACTGCAGGGACGTGTGCACGAGGCAGATCAGATTCAAACGTCGACCTCTGGGTGAAAATAATACAAACTGTGGAGAAAAGGTGAGCAAGTGGAGGTAGAGTGAGGCATCGCAGGGTTCCTACAGCTTAAAGCAAGTTAAATCTAAGACTTTTTAATGCTTTTTAATGCTTTTTAATGCTTTTGTAATGTTTTTTTAATGCTCTTTAATGCATTTTAATGCTCTTTAATGCTCTTTAATGCTTTTTAATGCTTTTTAATGCTTTTTAATGTTTTTAATGCTCTTTAATGCTCTTTAATGCTTTTTAATGCTTTTTAATGCTCTTTAATGCTTTTTAATGCTCTTTAATGCTCTTTAATGCTTTTTAATGCTCTTTAATGCTCTTTAATGCTCTTTAATGCTTTTTAATGCTCTTTAATGCTCTTTAATGCTCTTTAATGCTTTTTAATGCTCTTTAATGCT